CAGTGCATAGAAAATGTGTTGTATAGACCTGCCACTTGCTGTATCCCATGCTGTGAATGGTCAGCACTTGAGTCTAAAGCTGGGAAAAAAAAAACCCCTAAAATTGCAGTTAAAAAAATGGGCTTGCTTGGCAATCGAGGGTAGAATCCAGTGTTCTAAGTAGTATGGCCACTCTGAACCCAGGAGATCTTGGGCAAATCACTTAACCTCAGTTTGCCCATGTGTAAGACAAGGGAGTTACAAGGCTGCTCTCAAGGTCTCCTCTTGCTCTCCTGTTCTCTAATGACTCTAAGATGGAATTCTGGGGAACACACTAGAAGTTACTTTGACTTTAAAGGTTAGAGGGGAGAAAATAGAGCATGGTGTCAGATACATCAATGCCACCATGTCCCAGGCTGCAGAGCTTAATGCACTTCTTAAGATTAAACCAAGCAGACTGCCTCTAATGCTGTTGAAATGTCAGCCTTCAGTTCAGGGTGGTGGTAGACATCTGCATTACTTCTGTTTTTTAAACAACGTTACTCTGCCAAGAATGAATCTGTGTCATGATCTAATGGCTCTTGTCATTTTAGTGTAGTGATCAAGGAGGAAAAATGAAAGTACTTTATGTGGAAAACCAGATAAGAAGGTATTTCATAACCCAGAGTGCAAGGCTGTCTGGAGTATAATACAGATCTATCAGGAATTCAGTTAAAACAGTTTACCTGCTTTCCATGAGTGGGTTCAGTTCACTGATCTTCATTCAAGTTCACGCTAAAGTTATTTAACTGCGGGCTGTACATTACACCACACCGACCAAAGAATTATAGAGGTTTTCCAGGTCTAATATACAAATCCATATTGATTGCAGCCAAACATGCATTTAGTCAAATCTTTAATACACTCTATTAGGGCGTGGATAAGACTTTAAAGCTTTGTCTTAGCCACGGGGTAGCTGGGCTAGAGTTGAACCAATCGTAAACTGCCAGAATAGAAAGTTACCTTGGGATGCAGTATGTATTCTCAACAGCGTATCATCTAGAACAACAAACTTTTTTTTAATGTAAAAATCAGCAATTACTTGTCGTTATAAAATGGCAAATTTTACAAGGGGGCAAATTTGGTTTTCTTCCCTTGAGAGGCTCACCTCCATTACAGTGCTCAATGACCCATACCTCACATTTGTCATCGGCTGTACCTCTGTGCCTAATGCTCCATTTTCCTAGAGCAAAAATGTCTTTCAAAACACAGGAAGAAACGCGCCAGCCATTTTTCCCACCTCCAGTTGAGGTAGGGGAAGTTTATCCCAACAGCCCTGCCAAGTAGTTGGCATGATCTGCATTATTCTAGGACAGCTAGACAAAGTTTAGAATGAGAAATGCAAAATACATCCTTGTGCTTTCAGGATTATTTAGGTTTTAAATGATTTAGAGTTCCCTTATATGGAAGGCTTTCTAGGGAAAGACTGGCTAAACCTGTTCCTCACTATAGCTGAGAATGCATGCTCAGAAATTTAATTCAGCAGTGGTTGCACTGTAGTGTAATAAATACAGGCTATTTGGGAGCTTCCTTGGGGCTTCCTTGGTTTGATATGACTGTCTGGGATGTGGTTGTTAAAGGGACAGTTGGGGGAATGGGAAACGGGAGAGTCTTGCTACTCTGGGGAGGGGCTAGGAAGGATTCTTCCAGTGGATGTCCAATACTGTAGACACTAGCCACGTGTGCCTGTTCCCAACTGAGGCATATTGTGTGAGTAAAAGCTATACTGGGTTTCAATGACTTAGTATTAAAAAATGTAAGACATTTCATCAACAATTTTTACATTGATTGCATGTTGAAATTACCTGTGAAATAATTTGAGAGTGTATCGGGTTAAATAGTATTAAAATTGATTTCACCCACCTCTTTTTCTCTTTGAATGTGTCTACTAGAAAATTTAAAACTACATATATGGCTCACATTCTATATTTTCAGTGGACAGCACTGTACTGTATCCATTTTACATGGTGGACTTGTGGTGTTTACTTTCTTGCTTGTGTTTCTGTATTTTTCAAGCTGAATGTATAGCAGACAATATTGTGTTTTGAGAAAAAATATATAGCATGGACTGTGGAGTCTGGCAAGGATGTGTCCTAGCTATTGCACTTGGGCAACTAACTTTCTCTGAGCCTACACTCCGTCATTTGTTAAATTAAGAGAATAACTACTTTGACCTCACCAGGTCAAAGCTCTCCGGGTTGTTGTTAGGAGTGAGAAATGCATGGGAAATTAGGAGAGTGCTTAGCACAGAAACTGGCATGGGAAAAACTCAGTAATAAATATTCTGCATTTTTGTAGGTTATATCAAAACGCCCATCTGGTGCACAATGTGAAAATCTGTGTCCATTTCTAACTCAGGTCTTTGTCTCTCCTGTTCTACAAGTTTGTCCTTGCTATTATATCTACCTACTTTTACACCCAGAAAACCGAACTTCCCCTTCTTTGCCTCATCATTGCGACTCTGAGTTGGTTTTCTGTTACATTTGTTCACACTGAGCTTCTTCCCACTTCGTTACTTTAGCTCATTTTTGACTTCAGAGCAGGAATTTTATCCTGGCTACAAACCGCGCCACAACTATCTACCCCTGCCCTTTGCCTTGTACCTGGAGGCTGGGTCTTGCTTTTTACTGAACTCTGCTGCTTTTGATGGGATGATCAGCAAAGGACAATTGACACCAGGCCAGTGCATGTGGGAAGCTGTCAGAAGCGTAAGGGTCATATAAACAAGAGATCAAGAGAACCGAGGAGCGAAGACAGGACAGAAGAAAAGCAATGTTATCATTCTCTCCCCTTGTTTCACAAGCCTGCCTTCTCTTCTCACTGCCTTTGTCTGTTGGCTGTAAAAGCTGTGCTGTGTTCAGCTCATGGTTAGTACAAGGTGTTTCTCATCGCCTTTCTAGATTCTCACCGCCTGATGTACAACCTCCCACGGTATAGCACCGTTCACATCTAAAATGGCACTCAATTTCCATATTCTGGCCAATAACTCCTCAGATGAAGATGGTTGTAGATGTTCTCTGAAATGCAGTGACAGGGAAGAGAAAAATATGCAAACTTTGTCAAAATATGTGGCTTCCTCGGGTATGGTCTTTTTCCTAGTTCCTTCAGAATTAATGAGCCTCTCAGTCAGAGCGGAATGAGATGCAAACAAGGAGCAGGAACTTAAGATAAATTTGGAATAGCACAGGTGGCTGGGGGCACCTGTACTCCTCAAAGAAGTGGGAAAAAAAAGTCCCTGATTTCTTACCCATTTTTTAAAAATCAGAAATACGTTTGTTGTTGTTGTTGTTGTTGTGCTATCCAGCACCTGTAACTAGGTGATTCAGAATAAACTCTTGAATTAAGGTGGTATTTTTTTTTCACCATTTTTTCATCAGATCAATATGTTACCTCACCTATTTTAGTTTCAGATTTACTGGATGTTCTCAGGAGAGCAAACTCAAAAAAATAAACAAATTGGTTTATATTTCAAAGTTTAGACTGGGAGTTGACAGGAGAAACCTGCGCCTTGCTCACATATAGATTTGTGGAGGATTTGAACACAGCTAGGGTCCCCTCCAACAGCAGGGAAGGAATACCCAGGCCAGTGCATACAGGAGGCTCACCTCTGGATGTGTGAATGTGGCTGTTTGTTCCTGGAGCATTTATTGGCTTATCGAGACAGAATTTTACTCTGTCAGCCAGGCTAGAGTGCAGTGGCACATTCATGTCTCACTGTAGCCTTGACCTCCTGGGCTTAAGTGATCCTCCCACCTCAGCCCCACAAGTATCTGAGACCAGAGGTGTGTATGTACCACCATGCCTGGCTAAGTTTTTCTTTTTTTTTTTTGTAGAGATAGGGTCTTGCTATGTTGCCTAGGTGGGTCTCAAACTTCTAGGCTTAAGTGATTCTTCTGCCTTGGCCTCCCAAAGTGCTGAGATATCAGGCGTGTACCACCATGTCTGGCCCCCATTTATTAATAAAATATTTACCATGGGTCATGGGCAGGAAGCATTCATTGCCAACTGTCACTTCCCTATGGTTTCCTAGAAAATCAGAGGATTGAAAATGTGAGTAAATGTTTCTTACTACAATTGAAATAGAGGAAGGAAGCATTTCTGAAAATGCAAATCCTGCTTTAACATAGCAGTTCTCTACAGGGGAATTTATTCTGGGTGTCTTGGCTTCTTACAAAAAGAGAGCAAATGCTCCGCAGATACCCTGATCTTCCTTTTTTCTTTTTTCTTTTTTTGTCACTGTAGCTAAACTCTCAAGAAACCTGTGATTTCAGTTGTTTATGGTCTGTGTAGCATCTTTATCGCTGTCAGAATTGCAGAACTAGTGGTGGTTACATAAGTTGGAATACAAACGTGGACATGCAAACAAATGTCCATGCAGTAAACATTTGATCTACAGAAGGGGCCTTTGAGTGGTCTCTTCTCTAGGGCCTGATTTCTTCTGGGCTGCTGACAGCACAGCTCAGAGCTGCAAAGGAAGGGGAACATGTTACTGGCTGAACTTGAAGGAAGTTTTATATTTGCCATCTCTGAATAATTCTTTTTCCCCACATGAGGGTGGAAGAGATAATGAATCTACAAGTGTCTGAAAGAAACACATGTGCTGTTGCGGATATGAGCATCACGATTATAGGTGTGCATACCTAGCATGTCTATGTCCAGCAAACATTCTTGGTGACAGGCTATTCGTGATTTTGCTTCCCCTGAAACCGAATGCAAAACCGGTGTTATTAAATATGCTGCTTGGTTGCCAAAGGGACACTACTTCCATTAGATTTAAAAATATCACTAGGTCGTCTTTGTGCGGACATCCTTTAAAATACAAACACTGCTTTATCTAATGCAGCTATACTGCATGTATACATCTTTTTCTTTAAAACAAAAAGACAAAACTAGATTTATGGGTAACATAAAATGCTTTCTGGATACACAAACACCAATGAAAACATGTTTAAAAAATTGACATCAACCGGTATAAATACACTGTCTAAAGCATTTAATGGTCTTTAACACAGTCAACTCCCCCGGGTTTGAAACAGTGTTAAATTCTCTCTTGCTTGTGGCAAAAGCTGTCAAGTCCAACACTGAAAAAATTGGTACCATTTCCTGGCCAGTAAGCACAGAACAGAGGAGCTAAATATTTTATGGTTTTATTTATTTATTTACTGTGTTCTCATGCTGTGTTTTTCTCTTTTCTGTCTCTCCCTCCTGCTCATGTCTGCCCAGGGCTGATTGTTGTGACATTGGCCGTATGCTGGATGCCCAACCAGATTCGGAGGATCATGGCTGCCGCCAAACCCAAGCACGACTGGACGAGGTCCTACTTCCGGGCGTACATGATCCTCCTCCCCTTCTCGGACACGTTCTTCTACCTCAGCTCGGTCATCAACCCGCTCCTGTACACGGTGTCCTCGCGGCAGTTTCGGCGGGTGTTCGTGCAGGTGCTGTGCTGCCGCCTGTCGCTGCAGCACGCCAACCACGAGAAGCGCCTGCGCGCCCACGCGCACTCCTCCACGGACAGCGCCCGCTTCATGCAGCGCCCGCTGCTCTTCGTCGCGTCCTGGCGCCATTCCTCTGCAAGGAGAACTAAGAAGGTTTTCTTAAGCACTTTTCAGGGTGAGGCCGAACCCCAGTCTAAGTCCCAGCCATTGAATCTCGAGTCACTAGAGCCCAACTCAGGCACGAAACCAGCCGATTCTGCTGCAGAGAATGGTTTTCAGGAGCATGAAGTTTGAATGAATGTCAAGTGAGGGAGCCTTGAGTGGGAACTGGCCCTCCTCCCCCCAACAAAACGTCACCCTCACTCTGCAGTCTCAAAGTATACCCCCATCAGGGATGGAATGGACACTGGAGGCTTTGCAAAAGGCAGATGCCCAGCTCAGTGGCTTCTAAGGGCTGACTCTGCCAGCATGGCCTTGACCCTGGCTACACAGACACGGGGGTGAACTTCCACGCCACCTTCTTCCTTGACGTACATACTGACAATTCAGCCAGACTGAATTTATTCAGAATGCTTTACACTGCCTCATTATTTGCACAGGAACAAAGAGAGAACATGGACTCCCGCTCCCTACCCAGAATAAAAGGACACCCAGAAGCAACTCAGGGAGGTGGGGGGTTGGGGGCGAGGGCTGGAAGAACAATGCGGGAGGGGGTGGCATCTCCTTCAGCTTCAGCAGTGTGCCGAGAAGAGGGCTAATTTGAGGAGCAGGATCGTGGTGGGGAGCCCTGGCCTGAGGGCCGAGGCAGAACTTCCCCTTTTCTTGGGCCTTGGCCCGTTGCAAAGAGGGGTGTTGCAGCAGCTGATGCACACTGAGTTCAGTTTCCCTGGCGAGCAGAAGGACTGGTACCCGGCAGAGGCGATGAGACAAGCCGCTGATGACGCACAGGATTTGCGGTACATGATCCCTGCAACACACAGACCCAAAGGAGCCGAGTTAATGTGCACTGGCAAAAAAGATACCTGTCCAAATCCAAATGGACGGCTCTTCCTTACTCCTCCCCCAGCCCAGAGACTTGGTGAAGCCAGGGAGGTGCTTCGGATTCTCTCACTGATACTCAAAACACACAAGATAGATGGTGAAAGAGACAGGCACTATTTCATTAGTTTTAACCAAACTGTTCCAAAAGCTATTTGAGATGCCAATACCAGTGAATAAAGAGCTGTTAAAATGTAGGTCTGTATAAGTCAGAGTTCACATTGTGTACAAGGCAGTTTTTTTTTTTTTTTTTTGGTTCAAACTGTCTCATGCCAGTGAGGACCACAAGCAGTGCTTCTAGATCTTATCTCTGTTATTGCTTTATAAATGGCCACAGAGGGATGGCTCTCAACTATGTGTTGATGAAATCCTGAGGTTCTGTGAAGACAGACCAAATCCCCAAGGGGAATAAATATATTCCTACTGAAGGGGCACCTGGCTGTGTATCCCTCACAGTCTTAATTCTCAGACGCTCTGCCCTCAGGACACATGGCCATCTGCCAAGCCAGCACCACGCAGCTAGCACTCAGTGACACATACTGGGTGCAAAAAGGAGCGTCCCAAGATGACTAGGGGGGGCCTGTCTCAAAGAGCATGTGTGGCCTGTCAAGCTGTAGTCATCAAATGAGGGTGTCTTAATCATTTGATTTCTTAAAGGTGGAAGTTGACTCAATTCAAATAATACTAGCTGAACTTATTTAAGGGTTTCCCTGTCTCCCAGGCACTATTCAGACAGCTGTAATGTGTCAGCTTCTTCACTACCCCCAAGCAACCCTACGGGGGAGGCCCTCATGATCACTACCATTTTACAGATGCGAAGCCTCAGGGCCAGAGAGATTCAGTAACTTGCCCAAGGTCACAGGAAGTGGAGCAGCTGGGATTTGAAGCCAGCATTCTGGCTCCATGCTGTCAAGACTGTGTTACTGTATAGCAGCAAATTGGATTACCAACTAACCACAAAAATGGCTGGGATATTTTAGGGGGAGGGGGCTTTACGCTGAAGATAGCTCTTGTTGTGTGGATAGGTATGTGGTTTTTGTTTTTTTGTTTTTTTTAAATAAGAGAGTCTTGCTCTGTTGCCCAGGCTGTAGTGCAGTGGTGCCATCTCGGCTCACTGCAAGCTCTGCCTCCCAGGTTCACACCATTCTCCTGCCTCAGCCTCCCTGGTAGCTGGGACTACAGGCACCCGCCACCACACTGGCTAATTGTTTTTTAGTAGAGATGGGGTTTCGCCGTGTTAGCCAGGATGGTCTCAATCTCCTGACCTTGTGATCTGCCCGCCTCGGCCTCCCAGAGTGCTGGATTACAAGTGTGAGCCACCGCACCCGGCCATATATGTGGCTATTTTATATTAATGAATTCTTTTTTTTTGGACAGATAATATTTAATACTAAAGCTAGACTTAGAATTCAGGTCTTAATCCTGTTTGCTGCCTTGCACAGCTGAGGGATATAGCATCCTACTAGTAACCGGGTCTCCTTACCCACTCATTTCCTACAAGTGTATGGGCAGGTGTGGTTTTGGTTTTGGCTCCCGCCTCCTTGAGAATTGCCACTTTGGGTGGTGTAGAAACAGTAAGGAATGAAACTGCCTAGAACTTCCAAGCGGGAGGTAAAGAAGTACTTTAGATTTACCTTAAAACATGCAATTTTATGTCATTTTCCCCCCTCTAACTGCATGTTTGTAGGGACTGATTTTCTAAGACCATTACAAAATCCTGGAAGGTGGCTGCTCTGGTAAGCTAAAGCCGAGGTACAGAGGATGCCTGTATCCATGTGTGGGAGGCACTGTTTGATTTCTAAGCAATACACTTCAGGGCATTGCCCATTTATAGATTTCCCATAGTCTCTACATTTGCCATCCATGGCCCTTTTTAGGAAATCATTCTACTCTTTTTATTCCTAAGTCTGAAAAACACTAACTGGCATTTATTTGCCACTTCCTCTACAATGAAGTTTTTTTCTTCAAGTGAATTTTTAAACTTAAAAATTTACTGAATATGTTTTTCTCTTTAAAAAAAGTCAGTAGTGTGAAAATGGCCGTTGAGTACCCCTGCCAGTTCCAGGCCCTCCACCGTGCCCCTGGAGGCAGATGCTGTCATCAGTGTGGCGTGCTTTCTTCCAGGCTGGTTTCTCTACATTTACATATATGCCCACGGAGAAATTAGGCCCGTGTGTTCGCACACATTTGTTAACAGTATCACAACCTATATGCTACTCTGCGATTTGCATTTTTATTCAGTGACATGGCTGGGAGCTTATTTTTAAGGCAAACTTTGCAAGGTTAAGGATCAGTGATGAGGTAGGTTAGTTGGATACATAGTGTATGTCATTATGAAGAGATGGACTAACAGAGCCATAATCTTTACAGCTGCTGAGACCCTCATATGTCATTAGTCAGAAACAATTTATCTTCATAAGTGGCACCATCTCTGCTCACTGAAAGTTCAGCCTCCTGGGTTCACGCCCAGGAGAGGTACAAGCTCTCAAGTTGATGGTTCATGAACTGAGGGCACCACAATGAGGTTTTCTGAAGGGGAAGGTTGACAGCTCCATAAGAAAAGGGGCATTTACTAGATGCTCCAAGAGGGAAGAAAGAGAAAGGTATCTGAGGTCAGATAGGTGTGTCCATTGCCAGGATGGCTGCTCTAGGCCAGGCATCCTGAGGAGGCCCAAGGGCCAGCAGGTTTCTAGGCATGAGGGCCATGAAGCTCAGGGTAGCTGTGGGCTCCTATGAGCCTCCCTTGCTTAAGATCTAAGTCTGGAAACTGGCACGAGAGATGCTTTGGGTGAGACTGGATGTAATTGAAGAGGTTTCTAACCAGATGAAAGGAAATGTGGAGCTAGGCATCAAGGTAAGTGACAGGCAACTGGCTGGTGTCGGGCTAAGGAGGAGCTGACTTTGGAGACATTCAAGAAGAAAAAGTACGCTAGTTCTAAACTGGACAGTGGCAGAGGAAACAGGTAGGAGTTGTGGCGCTAATAGCAATTGGGAAATTTGAGATTAAAGAGGGTTTTCAGAAAACAAAGGCATTTTACTTATCCTTTTGATGAAAATTCATGTGGTGGAAATAACACGGTGCCTCCTTTGAGAGAGGTGGGATGGGGCTGAGTGGTGAGGCTGGGGCAGAGGGACTGATATTTGGAAAGGCTGATGTTTGCAGTCTGCAAAGAAGTGGAAATAAGTCACCTCTCCCACAGCTTCAGATAAAGAAAAACTGTCCAGGTTCATTGTAGGCACTTCAGCGGGCAGGCTGGCATGGGAACGGAGGTCCAGGGACAAGCAGGGATGGTTTTGGGGAATGCTGAGAGCTGCCCTGTGAGGAACACGTGATTGAAGACCACACAGGCTGCTAGGTAGCTTTAAGAAAATGCCCCTGGGGTTTAGACACGAATGGCTGCCTGCACTGATGCAACTGGTGAAGAAAGCCACAGGAGAGACTGGGAGGCACCAAGGAAGAGAGGGGTGTAGAATAAAGACTCACACTGGAAGGAAATAAGGAATGCTGCCAGGTGGGGAGGGCCCAGTGAGGACTTAGAACCCCTGAACAGTTCCAGCATTCACATGCTTAGGATAAATTCCAGGTAGATCTAAGATTTAAATGTTGGGGGGAAAGAAACCCATAAAAGTACTAAACGACACTTTGGAACCTTGGGAGTTTTATGTAAGAGTTGTAAAAGCTATTCTATGACACAACACCCAGAAGCCATTACAGAAAATACTGAAAAATTACACTATATACATATACAAACTCTGCCTATTGAAATCCCTATACATAGGATTAAAAAAACAAGTGAAATATTTGAAAAAATAATTGTAATTCCAATCACAAAGCAGATTTCCTTAATATGTAAAAAGGTCCTAGAAATCTGTAAGGAATAAATAATAAATCAGTAAGGAATAAATAACTCATTAGAAAAACAGAGAAAGCAAATGAACAGACAGTTCACAGAAAAAGAAACAGAGCTTTGAAACACATGAAAAGATACCCTCTCGTATCATAAGAAGAATGCAAATTAAAACTACACTGAGACGCCACTATCACTTGGGCAGAGATTTAAAAGTTTATTATGAACACTGTGTTAAAAGTTTATTATAAACACTGCGTGAGTCTTAGAAAAAGGTCCTTTCCCACATTGTTGGTTAGGAGAGTAAATAGGTATAATTTCCATGAAGGCAATGTGGCAATAGCTATCAACATTGCAAATGCATGTACTCTGTGACCTGGCAATTCCACTTTTATGTATGAATCCTACAGACATATTCACACACATACACAATGACTGTACACAAGGTTATTCATGGCAGAGTACAGTGTCATGGCAAAAGAATAGACCATCACTCTATCCATCACCAGGGCACTGGTAAACTTCCAGTGTCTTATCTGCACAATGCAATTCCACAAAGCCATAGAAGATGATACTGAGTTTAAAACAAAGCAAAGTATGTCTGGACAGTTCCTTCCTTCCTTTTCTCTCCCTCCCCTCTTCTTTTTTTTTTTTAAGAGTTTGTTTCTTACTATGCTTCAGATGCAGTTTTAAGAGCTTTATGAATATTAACTCATTTAATCTTTGTAATAACTCTAGCAGTAATCCTCATTTTGCAAGTGGGGAAACTGAGGCAAAAATAGGGTATGTAATTTGCTTAGGGGCCATTCAGGTAATATGTAGTGGAGCTGGGATTTAAGCCCAGGAGATCTGGATTTATAATCTATACTGTTAACCATTATACTACACTGCCTACCATGCTATAACATGCATCCATTGGGGAAAATAAAAATTAAACACACACATTTTGCATGCATATGCATAAAAATTTATGGAAGAATACACAAAAAAGATAACATTGGTTGTCTCTGGTGTGAGATTCTACGTGGCCACAGGAGAGGAGTGGGAAAAAACTTTTGACCCTTTCTTACCATTTAAAATCAGAACCATGAGAGTAAAGTATCATTTTTAAAATGACGTCAATAAACACCCCCAATGAACCATCCTCAAATGGCTTCTTTCTCAGTGTAGTACAAGTTCCCTCCTAGCTGTGTCCACCAGAGGGCTCTAGGGAATGACACTCTGAAGAAAAGAGCCACCAGGAGCTGCCCCAAAGCCCAAGTCTCAGGGTCACAGGGCAGGGGTACTTGTGCCTGTGGTTCTCTCTGCTTTTCCTTTAACCCGGACCCCATGAGATCAGGTCTGAGCCTGAGGG